AGCTGAAGCAAGGACACTCTTCAGAAAGTTTCAATCCTTCCGTTTGCTTTAAGGCCATCTGTTTTGATATGATTGATCAGTACATTTGTGGCCATAATAGTTTTTGTTTAATTGTGTTTTTATTACTAGTATGCCTATGATTATGAGTCATTATAGAAATTCATTTGACACCAAACTGTTGTATTTTTCACACTAATTTTCTGAATGCCAAATAAAGGCAGTGAAGCACTATTGCACCATGGGACCGCTCATCCATTTTGTACGGTGTAATTTTCCCTAATCGTCTTTGTCTACCTTTGGCTTTTCTCATTTGCATTTGAATGAGGGTGAGGGTGAGATGCGAGCGAGAGTAGTGGGAGGTAATGAATTTGTCATGTAATGATGAGAGGATTGCCAGCAGTGTGCGAAAAGCATCGGCTAGGGAGCGGATAAGGCCATGGTTTCTAATCTCTCCAAGGACTTCCTTGTTTACTTTTTAACATTTGCTGTTGAAGAGAATGGAGGAAGGGGTGTGTGGACTCACATAATTAAATATAAAACCTTGTATTTTATTGTATCTATGTGTGTACTTCTCTCCTGAGAATATGGTGACAACTCTGAGACACTTCTCGAAGATCAACTTTATCTCATAGCAAAGTTCTCTGCAAATCGCCTTGGATCGAAATTATAAATAAGAAACTGGTTGGATTTATAAATACAATAAACCTCAATACATTTTTGATCGAACAACTTATTGGGTGCACACTGTACACTCTTAGGTCTTATCTAGAACCTAATGGTTATTTGGCTGTCCCCATAGGAGAACCCTTTGAAGAACCGTTTTTGGTTCCAGGTAGAACCCTTTTGGTTCCAGGTAGAACCCTTTCCACAGAGTGGAAACCAAAAAGGGTTCTACCTGGAACCAAATAACCCTTTTGGAATCCTTTTTTTAAGAGGGTATATTGTCACTTAATTTTCTGTGAAAGTACAGAACATTTGAAGTATTGACTGAAGGAATAGAATATTTAGGCCTAGATTTTTCTGTCTTTGTTGTGTACATCGATCTATTTTCCTGATGAGAAAGGTGAGAGGGACTTATGTGAATGCTATGCAGGTCTCTGTCTATATCAGTCATGAAGTATTGACTGAAGGAGTATAATTTAGAGTTCGGAGTTTTGCTATCTCCTGCATGTGTCGAATCCATATCTGTTCCTGATGAGAGAGGTGAGCGGGACCGCAGAAGAAACCCACAATTACATTAGTTTCGGTGCAGCTTTGTAAGGTAAAGACACCAAGGCTTTTCATAATTCATGAATAAACTGCCTTCCTATTGATGTTTCCAATTAGCAAAATGCATTTTCTAATTGTGCTACACTCCCAGGCATACTGTGCCTTCGGAAAGTATTCAGACCCCTTGACTTTTTCAAAATTTTGTTACGTTACAGCCTTATTTTAAAATGGATTAAATAGTTTTTTCCCCTCATCAATCTACACACAATACCCCATAATGTCAAAGCAAAAACAGGTTTTTAGACATTTTTGCAAATGTATTACAAATAAAAAACTGAAATATTACATTTACATTAGTATTCAGACCGTTTACTCTGTCCTTTGTTGAAGCCACTCAAGGACATTCAGAGACTTGTCCTGAAGACACTCCTGCGTTGCCTTGGCAGTGTGCTTAGGGTCGTTGTCCTGTTGGAAGGTGATCGTTCACCCCAGTCTGAGGTCTTGAGCACTCTGGAGCAGGTTTTCATCAAGGATCTCTCTGTCTTCTCAATCCTGACTAGTCTCCCAGTCCCGGTGGTTCCAAACTTCTTCAATTTAAGAACGATGGAGGCCACTGTGCTCTTGGGGACCTTCAATGCTGCAGACATTTTTTGTGGTACCCTTTTTCTTCCTGTTTCTTACTTCCTCCTATTGTAAATGGCCGACCAACTGTGTATACAATAGATAATAGACACATAATTCAGTGTGCATTATACCCTCTGAATTGAGAATAAAATAGCTTGATGGTCCATGTTATTACCATCTTAAAACAAAGTCTATATGATATGGTGGTGGACAGCAGGAAAAACACATATACTCCTGAGGGCAACAACATGTGTTGCACTCTACAATCAGATTTCCATAATTATCATACAAAGATCAATTGAAGCCATATTTCTTGGACTCTCCTTAATTCATTCCGATACAATAATTCACATTCTGTACACACCTTGGTTGTGCACAGAAAGGTGTGCCATTGAATCACTAGTTATGTATCATACCATTGTTTGAATACCCTGAAACACAGGAATAGAATACTGGTGAAACTGAAAACAGGTTATACAGTTTGTTGTAGGAGTGAGATTTGTTCACAGATAGCGTGTTCTATCTTCTTTGTAATAATTTACCTGGATCCATTTTCAGATAAAACCTGAAAGACAAGAACAGGAGAGAGAGAGAGAGCAAGAGAGAGAGAGAGAGAGAGAGAGAGCGAGAGAGAGAGAGAGAGAGAGAGAGAGAGAGAGAGAGAGAGAGAGAGAGAGAGAGAGAGAGAGACATAGAAAGAGAAAGAAAAATAGAAAGAAAAATAGAAAGAAAGAGAGAGAGAGAGGACAGCCAGCAACACAGCAATAGATACTTTGTGGGAGGGAGGTTGTGCATAGGGAGAGAAAAACAGGAACAAAGTTGATAAGCTGGTTCCAAAGTTCACCTGCAGCACACCTGGGGATGGGTGCTCCTTTCCCTGAGCTGGTCAGAGATGATTCAGGTGGTGGAGAGGATATCCTATGAAGCCCAGATCTGCTCTCCGATACCCGGAGGATAGGGACTTTGTCTCTCCTTATGTCTTCATTGATTTTGGACCTGGACCATTCATGTTTTTCTCTTTGACTGGAGTCGTATTTACTAAACATCACATGGTGTGTGCTCCCTGAGGAAATCAGGACAAAGGAGTACAGACTGTGGGAACAGGATTTTAATCTCACTCTTCTTACTCCTCAAGCCCAATGCATCTGTGGCCTAGGAAGGTCATAGTGCTTCTCCTGTACTGCTATGGTGAGTTTAATGGAGCACTACTGATCTCCTGTTTGATTTGGATGAGTGCACTCTAGGTATAGACCTAGACTGCGTCCCAAATGCCACCCTATTTCCTAAATAGTGCACTGGGCTCTGGACAAAAGCACTGCACTATATAGGGAATAGGGTGCCATTTGGGACGCATCACTATAGTCATTGTTTTATATGTAGTCGTAATGAATTAGATGAACTGAGTCTCTGGAGATTTCCCCTCAGTTCTAATCAAGGTCTTGGTGGACAAAGACTAGTGAACCCTATGTGGACTTCACTCATTCTAAATTATAGCGATCAATGGAAAATGGATCCACGGGCAAGTTCATTTGAGTGCTCCATGAGTGGTCTATGATATCGATTACATTATTCTAAAGCATATCAACATGCTAATGTTGAATGGAGTCGAGACTGTGTATCATTTTCTGGTCAATGTCAATTGCGTAACCTGTAATCTGCATGAGATATGACCAGATGCACTATGACGTAAGTGGGTCAAAGAGGTCTACATACGTAGCTGACATTTTAAAAAGGAAAGGTTAATTATGGATGAATTGTTCCTAGTGTACTTATATTGTAGTGTGGTGAATATCCCACCCATTTTGTAGTTGGATGGAAATTATCCAACCATTATGTAGAAATTATGTTGAACATAATAATAGTAAACTACATGTATCAATCTGACTCCAATATTATGTGAATAAATGCAACAGGCCCTGTTCATCTCTAGAGGATCTAGTCAAGGTAGAGAGCCTTGCATCACCTCTCATTATGAATATAATCAACATGTCTAACTTTAACCGTTATGCAATTATTAAGAGACTAGATACAAATAGCTAATCCTGGTGAACAATGTTCTAGCATTAATTTATTAAGGCAAGCAGATCAGGGATGTCAAGGTGGTACCCAGGCATATGCTATGGGTATAGTTTACAGAACCAGTCAAAAGATTGGACACACCTACTCATTAGAATTGTTTTATTTATTATTATCTACATTGTATAATAATAGTGAAGACATCAAAACTATGAAATAACACATATGGAATCATGTAGTAACCAAAAAAGTGTTGAACAAATCAAAATATATTTCAGATTTGAGATTCTTCAAATAGCCACCCTTTGATGAACGGAGCAAAGTACAGAGAGATCCTTGATGAAAACCTGCTCTGAATGTCCTTGAGTGGCCCAGCCAGAGCCCGGACTTAAACCTGATCAAACATCTCTGGAGAGACCTGAAAATAGCTGTGCAGCGACTCTCCCCATCCAACCTTCTTGAGAGGATCTGCAGAGAAGAATGGGAGAAACTCCCCAAATACAAGTGTGCCAAGCTTGTAGCGTCATACCCAAGAAGACTCAAGGCTGTAATCACTGCCAAAGGTTACTCGTTTCAGGAAACTAGGCGTATGTCGCGCGTCACTACTTCACAGGAGAGGCAATTGAACGTAAACGTTTTGGGGGGGCAGAAATACCTTCTGGAACATGTGAACTTTCATGTGCCTTAATAACACACTTGTATGCCATCTGTAGATATGAATACAATTGTTAAATTATGAGACTAGTTGGTTTAGCCAAGGGAAAAAAGACAGGAACCTTCCTGCTAGCCATGATTGGCTGAGATAATGGATGGGCTGGACATGCCGAGAGAGGAGTTCGGATTGGTCTGCCATGTAGCACGCTTCTGTCTATAACATGAGCTGGTCAGTATGTGTAGGTAATCCTTTCTAACGCTGCTTTTTTGAAAGATATCACGTAGTAGAACTGCAAAAGTGTTCCTCTCCACTTTCTGAAGGGCCGAGTTTTGAAATCAGTGGAATGCCCGGTGGAATTAGAGTATGATAGCTAAGGAGATGGAGAAAATTCTGGCGTTTGATTGCAAATATGCAGAAGGGGTTGAAAAGAGAACACACAGAAGGATGTTGTATAAAACACCTGTGTCCGGATAACATCTTCAAACTAAGGGCAACCATGGCATCCGTGACAGAGAGGGAGAAGCGTCCATCCATGTACATGGGTAAGATAGTCTTGCTAGCTACATCTTCAGATATTATATGTTTCTAATTTAGTCAGAAAGTCGTTTTTCATTTCAAGTTAAAGCGTACTGTTAGCTATCTAGCTAACATTCGCTGGCTGGCTCGCTCGCTCGCTAGCTAACGTTACGTGTATGATCTGTGTAGTAATATTATTCGTATCTCAGAGCCATTTGCATTGCTAGTTCTAGCCTAATGTTAGCTAGCTAGCTAACATTGAACCTGGTTGGTTAGCTTCCTGCAGATGAATTCAGGGTAGTAACATTATCATTGTTTAGCTAGCTAGCTACGTGTCTAAACAAAAGACTCCACTATGCAAGTAACCATTTCACTACACCTTCTGTATCCTGTGCATTTGAGAAATCAACTTTTTGATTTTATTTGATATAGTATGTGTTTACCAGAGACGATAATGTGAAGAACATGACCTGCACCAAAGTCAAATTAGGATATAATGTTAGGCCAACGAGACAGTGTCCAAGTTCTAAAATTCTCAGGTAGAATGCCCTGCTTTTATTTCATCACACTCACAACCGTAAGCTATTTTCTGTAATTGGCTCTTCATTAACTTGTAAATAATGATCTTGTTGTGAGTTTATTTTCCTGTAATAATGAAGACAAATGAGCTAAAGTGAAGACGTTGTCAGCTATATGATATGGTCATTATTTTAACTGGCTAGCCAGCTAACTTAACATTAGCTAGCTCGCTAACAAGCTAGAAATGAACCAAAAGGACATTTAGAAAGTTTCTTTTAGTTGCCTGGTTTGCTAGATTGACATATACTAAATTCATTTTTAAACAGGTGGGTTTATTGGTGTTAAAATACACTAGTTATGCTATTTTGGACCACCAGGCTGATGTCATGCAGCCTGGAGTTTTGGTGTTAATTATTTTTCATAATAATATAATATGCCATTTAGCAGACGCTTTTATCCAAAGCGACTTACAGTCATGCTTGCATACATTTTTGTGTATGGGTGGTCCCGGGGATCGAACCCACTACCTTGGCGTTACAAGCGCCGTGCTCTACCAGCTGAGCTACAGAGGACCATAATGACAACTACAAGTTTGATGTTGGATGACAATAGAATGTTCATGATGTCACTGCGACAACTGTTGATAGACGTAGTATAAACCAGCCTTTAGTCTTGAAATCTTTGGTTGTTTAGTACATTGCCTCACATGTGAATCCTTAAAGAGATGGGTGGGGCTAAGGCATAAGAGGGTGTGAACGATGCTGAATGGGTGTAGACAAAAAAGAGCTCTCCGGTAGGTTTACCAAAACATTCAAGGGCCATTTTCTCAAAAGTGAGGTTACAGGGCCTCTCAAGTGGCACAGCGGTCTAAGGCACTGCATCACAGTGCTTGAGGCGTCACTACATACTCAACCTGAATTAACATTTATTTGCACTTTGCTAGTAAAAACAAAAGACAGGAAAACACACCCAGATTCTAATCTAATCAACTCAATTTAGAATATAGCAGCACGCCCGTGTCGCTCCCTCTTTGAACTATCAGCCGTCCGACGAACAGAATAACACAGTTTGCCTGTAACAATAAATCCATAGCACGTACAGTACAATAAAACATATAAAAATTAATAACTCTTTATGAACTCTTGAAACAATCCAAACATGACAATTTAACATTCATTTAGTCAATTTCACGTTTTCATCTGTGTTCACACCTCCAATGGTCTCCGTACCCGCAGGGTTCTGTAGGAACGTCCCTCCCTGGAGAAATCCACAGATAAGGTGTGTTTAAACCCTGTGATAGCCCACAGATGGTCAGCCATTCAAACAATGTCATAAACCATGATTGAGTCTTCACGCTGGGCCTCTGCACCTGCAAGTCGTTAGTCGCGAGTATCACCTTCTCTCATTCTTCCACTATAGTTTCTATCTTATTATACAGTCCTGATAAGACTGGCACAAACTCCTTGAGGAATTAAGGCTGTTCTATAGTGGACACTATATTTTTTAAACATCCCTTTGTGGACGGGCCCTACAGACCCAGACTGTTGATTTTGTTTAATCCTATTCTCACTCAAATCAAGCAATTGTCCAGCTGCTTATATTCCCTCCCCTGTAGTCCAGGAACAATTACACATTTTAGTTCCTGCTGCCACAGAAACAAAGCCCAGCTTACGTAAGCCCAACTTGAGTTCGGCCCACAGCAGCTGTGAGTGAAAATGCAGCAAGCGTATCTCAAGGGAGGCAGATCATTTGACAGAGGCTGTTGTTGTGAGCATGTCACATGGGTCATGACAATGCTGAATAATAGACCAATGCTTTTTGTATAATGACTAGCGAGACGTTTTACTATGAATGCTATTCGTAAACAGACAGTCTCAAGTTAACTTCCCCACCATCTTTTTCTTTATCTATAGGTTGTTCAGCCATTGGTGAAGGGAAGCCATACTTCATTTCTAGGAATTTCAACACTGTGCTCCACTGGAACAAGGTCGACAGCCCAGATGAAGGGGTCCTTTACAGTGTCCAGTACAAAAGGTGAGAGACAGGAATACAGCTGTCACCTATTCACCTTTCAACCCAACAACATATTTATGTGCCTAGGGTGACCTAGGGTGATATGTGACTTATATCAACAACACTTTAAAGCTGTGTGCTGAAAGTCGGAACTATGCCTCCGGGAAGAGACTGTGTGTGCGTGTTTAAGTTAAGTTAAAGTGCCATTTTCATTCTCTCCATGCTCCTTTTCAGCATCGTTGTCCCCATCGTTGTCCCCATCGTTGTCCCCATTGTTGACCCCATCGTTGACCCCATCGTTGTCCCCATCGTTGTCCCCATCGTTGTCCCCATCGTTGTCCCCATCGTTGTCCCTATCGTTGTCCCCATCGTTGTCCCCATCATTGTCACTATTGTTGTCCCCATCGTTGTCCCCATCATTGTCCCTATTGTTGTCCCCATTGTTGTCCCCATTGTTGTCCCCATTGTTGTCCCCATTGTTGTCCCCATTGTTTCGGATATGGTGGGTTGCTCTGTCAATTTGCAGCTCCACCTACTGCCATCAGCCCTGAAACCGTGGTGCTACTATACTTCTCCATGCTGCAGGTTGAGCTCCACTGGCTGGGGCAAGCCTTAGCAGACAGGCTCTGGTCTGTTCATTACCACAGGCCTCACTCTGTTTCCCTGCACACCACAGGGATAAATCTGTGAAATAAATTGCCTGTAAAAATGTGCTATTCAACTTTACAAACGGCACTCAGTACACCTGTGGCTATGTGAGGCAAATGTTTTCGTCTCACTCACTTTGTCTCACTGCCTCTTTGAATTCCTTTTACAAAGTGGAAATGTCAGCTCATCTAATTGCTCATGATATAGTCTGATGGGAAAATGCCAAGTGCCACACCAATCGCATTGATTTGTCTCACCGAGACTGTCACCTGGAATTGCTTGCATGTCCTTATTCAAGGCCTCAGAGCTCCACCATCAAATCAGTTCAGAAAAAGATTGGCCCTGATCATCCCCACTTAATATCGGTTCCCTGTTTGACACACTATCCTTTTGTTATTTTTATATGAGGAAGTAAGAGGTTAAATAACACCTATTTCAAAACTCTGTTGTACTATTTGTGGTCTAGCAGCTGGGCTACTGCACACACACCCTGAAAGGCAATACATTTACAGCATTTGATATGTCATGATAAAGGCTCATACATACTTATAACAACTTAAAAAGCATTGTACCTGAAGGCTTCAAGTAAAGTGTTACTCAATATTTTTTCAAAGTGCAACATTACATTTGGACTAAAGGTTCCCTACATAATGTGTTTTATGTTTGTTCATGTTTTTTGTGTGTTCATTATAGATACGGAGAGCCATACAAGCTGAAGATTGAGTGCCAGAACATCACTACTCTTTCTTGTGACCTCACTGCAGAGACACCATACATCTATCAAAATTCCTACTATGCTCAGGTTTTCGGCAACAGTCACTCGCTAGGCCGTACAGCAATGTTTAAACCTCTGAGAGACAGTAAGCAATTTTATCTCATTATCATACTTTTTCTAGATTAGGATGTTTTTTGAGTATGTGTTGGCTCAGAGGGCAGAATCCTTACTTGTAATATATACACATAGCTCCAACTGTCTGTTCATATTCCATAATGACATCAATGTATGATTTCCATAAAAGCTAATGTTATTCACCAATTCTTCCAGTTAGCATTTGGCCCATACTAAAAGGCTTTATCCTCTTTTCTACAGTTTGTCACTAATTTGTTATTTTCCTTATTCTTATTCTCACCCTTTCTTTGTCTTTTACATGTCAGCTGTCCTTGGGCCACCCAATTTGTCTGTGACCCCCACAACATTATCTTTAAAAGTGACAGTTACTCTACCGTTGGGACCGGATAATAAGGCTTCCATCGAGGAGATTTACAACAGTACCAGCTTTTCCTACCATAACCCTCCAACTCTCTATATCCTCAACATCACTCATCCTAGCTGGGCAGCACAGGTGATTATCTCACATGTACTGCTCACACGCATGCATGCGCGGAAGCATGCAGACACACACACACACACACCCACACACACACACACACACACCCACCCACACACACACACCCACACACACACACACACACCACACACACACACACACACACACACACACACCCACACACACACACACACACACACACACACACACACACACACACACACACACCCACCCACACACACACATATTAGATACACGAACATGTTCTAACTGCTGACTCTTTTTCCACAGGTCCATAAAAACACAACTGGAGAGTTTGTCCTTAACCATCTAAAGAACAACAACGTAGAGTACTGTGGCTATGTGGTCTACACCCCGACTAGAGAACTGCACCGAAATGCCAGTGAGAGACGTACATTCTGTGTGACATTACCAGGTGAGGTCATTTGGTGTCCCTCAGGGCTCTGTATGTATGCCCAAGCTGGTCTCAGAGCATTTGTTATTATTCGTTATGTAAATCCGAGACGCTCCATTTAGTATATGTTAAGTTTCGTATAGTATTAATTTGTGGTTGTCCATCACCCATTTCGTATGATATGTTACGAATTGCAATTCGTATTATATGTTACGAATTGCAATTCGTATTATATGTTACGAATTAGAAAAACGTACAATATGTTACGAATTAGAAAAACTTACAATATGTTATGAATTTGCAAAACGTACAATATGTTACAAATTTGCTAAACGTATGATATGTTACAAATGCTAGCTAGGTGGCTAATGTTAGCTATCTGGCTAACGTTAGCTAGGCTAGGGGTTAGGGTTAGGGGTTAGGGTTAAGGTTAGGGTTAAGTTTAGGAGTTAGGTTAAAGGGTTAAGGTTAGGGGAAGGGTTAGCTAAAAGGGTTAAGGTTAGGGTTAGGGGAAGGGTTAGCTAACATGCTAAGTAGTTGCAAAGTAGCTACTAAAAAGTAGTAAATAGTTGAAAAGTTGCTAATTAGTTAAAATGCTCAAGTTTTCCGTGATGAGATTCGAACTCGCAACCTTTGGTTATACGTCCACACATCCACCCCGACCAACCACCCTACTTTCGTTTTTGCTTTAAGTAACCATCTGTCTTATGTAACCATACCAAATGTAACATATCATACTAATTTTAGTGTCCTGGATTTACATTTACTATGTTACGTCTATGAGACCAGGCTGGTATGCCTTTCCTTTTTGCCTTTGCTAGTTTTGTTGAATGAATCATCTGTGAATGCATTCCTAAAGTATGAGTAGAGTTTGAGTAACCATTCTGTCACCATAAAGAACTTAAAGGCATACTGTAAATGCATTGACTCTAGTTTCACATTGTTAAGGGTATTCCTGCTGCCTTTTCAAGGATTATATAAAGGCTCACTTCCTGGAGACAAGACTGAAACTACTGTATTGCCAGCATCCTTGAAACTACTGTACTGACTGATCTCACGGACACGCCCATGCTTGCTCTATAGCGCTGGCAATTTACAACCTATTGGCCTGTTTCCAATAGGCTCTGAGAGTGAGGCAGCTGTTTTGCCACTACTGAGGTGTAATACAAACAATCTTCTCCCATCTAGGTGACCTCTGGCTGCTGTTCCCCTGGTTCCTTCTCTTAGGGTGTCTGCTACTTGGTTCCCTCCTGCTACCGGTGGTGGTGTGTCGTCACTATGTGAAAAAGAAGATTAACATGCCAGACGCCTTGGTAAGAAATGTACATTGGAGATTTCCCCATACATGAAGGAGTGCCAGGAAATGTTCCTGTTACTGGAAATACAGGCCTCCAGGCAAAACTTACAGTAACACGTGCTTGAGAGGCCTCAATAGGGTGCAACCGAACCTGAGTTTAATCTCAGCCACAAACACGCAATACATTCAGCCCTTTTCTACAGGAACACCTAAACGTAGAACAGGACACAATGTGTAACAGTAGTTACAATAAAATGTTACCTCTTTGCAATTTACACCTGCACTGTTTTATGAGGAAATTAATTTAACTTTATCATCCTTCCTTTTCTCTTTAAATGACTGCATTTACTAATCTTCCCAGAGTTGAATCTGTTTTATTACATTTCCTCTCATATGCTGAGAAATCATCCCCGTTTAATCAGTTGTATCACTGTAATTTGCATTTCATGCCAAGAACTGAAAGCAATTACAAAAGATTACAGCAGTGTTGTTTCAGTTGAGCTCATTTAATTCTTGCCATGAAAGTTGTTCAGAATTGTAATTGAACAAGTTAAAGAATCAAATACATTTTGGTTTGACATACATTGTAACCACTCAGTCAATGATTCCAAGGGTTTGGTGGGGTGGAGAGGGGGGTCATAGAGGTGTTTTAGTAATAGTTAAGTCATCTAAATCCTCTTTCTCTTCTACACAGAAACTGACAACGAGCAACGTCCCACCTCCACCTCCAGAAGCCATCACCATCTCCATTGCCAAGCCGTATCATTACCCTGTGGGGTTCTCCTACGGTGACCTGAAGACTGGTAAACTCCAGATGGGGTCAAAGTTCACCAGCAGTGGGTCTGGGTCCTATTCCCCCCAGGACGAACCCTCCTCCATTGCCCAGCCCAGGCACTGTGACACCTACATGGGCCAGCAGGGTCCACCCCTAGAGCACTCCAACAACAGCACCCAGTCCTCCACCAACTATAGCATGGTCGTAGTGCAGGTGGCCAATGAAGGTGTGGAGGAAGAATGCCATCGCCATCCAGACAGTGAAGACAACATCAACTCTCCATGGTCATCTGAATCCAGTGACCACAAACTCATTTGGGTTCAAGGTGGCCCAGTTTTGTTTTCGTGTGGAGCACCACCTGAGCCAAACCGTTGTGTTGGAGACAGGGACTCAACAGGGCACCCCCTGGTACTGCCCACATTGCGGCGTATTGACGGCCTACTGCAGTTGTCCACTCTGCTGCTCCAGCCAGAGACACAGAGTGCTGTGGCCAGCCTGGCACTGCCTACCGACGCTGAGGGGCAGCCCCTTTTGTGGGACCTAGACAGCACTGGGCAAGGGGCATCACTATTGTCTGACCTGGTCACCACGGGGGAGACAGAGTGGTTGGACCCTGGTACAGGGAGAGAGGAGAAGAGAACAATATACACCCCAATCTCTCCAATGTGTTTCAATAACTCCAATGACTCTCCATCTCACTCCATACCTCCCATCACCCTTGCAGACTGCGAGACCTCATCAATGACACTCTTGTCTAGTTACAAACAACACCGGGTACCCCTTGCCCCTCTAGGGCTAACAGCAGAGGATAGCTTTGGTATTTCCTCATATGCTCCACAACAGGCTTGGACTGATCAGGAGGAAGAAGAGGAAGAAGGAGAGGAAGAAGGAGATGAAAGAGGCAGTGAATTCTTTCTGGGTGGTTGGGTGGTACAAATTCTAGGATGATTGGTTTTCGTTATTTGCTTCCCTAAAAGAATCTTAAGGGCCTCTGTGCCTGTTCTTTGCTCTCTTTGGGTCCCCAAAGTAAGTCAGAGACAAGTTCCGTCTCAGCGAGCCTTCACAAAGTGCAGGGAGAAGTTGGAAGGAGCAGAGAGAGGGTTTTGGTGGCGGTGGAGAGTGGGGCTTTCACGGTCCCTCTCCTGCCTGCCATGGCGCTTGTGATCCAGCATCCAGCACATATGGCCCCCTCAATGGAGTCCTACTGAATCAAAGCTATCATTTTGGCCCTTTTTTACATTATGACAAATGTAGGATGTAGGATCAAGTGCTGTAAAATGTAGGATCAAGGATATAGGATTATCAAATGCTGTAAAATAGATTTTGTACATTATATTGTGACACTCTTTTACATTTGCATATTTAGCAACATTTCCAGCAATAGGCTAGTTCTACCAATATATGTGTGCATCCATACACACATCTTAATGTACACTAACGTGTTCATTTAAACCATAACTGTGAAGTATTTGTTTCATTTGAAGAAATTAAATGGACATCCAGGATTCAAGCTGGGTGGCATAAGGTAGTAAACAGCCAGTCCTCTTATGCCATAATGTCAAAGGCACAAAGCTTTAATGTCAGCATAGTAGTACTTTTGTCTCTTTATTTATTGTTTCTTGTTTCATAGTATATGTGTTATTGTGTTCCACATTATATGCACCACAATGCTGAAGAAAATATGACTGACATTTTAATGAGTTTACAGCAACAATTGAAATTCACATCAGCATTGAAGGTGATGTACTGTATATATTTCTAAAATATTATTGTCAGAAATACAAAAAAGGGCAGTGTGAGTTACATGAGATATGTGTCAAATAACTTTGTTGTGTGTTTTGTCTTCGAAGTGTGTGACCTCAACACTGTCCTGTCATTATTTGCTGCACTTTAGAGGTGATGAAATTACAGTAGAGGAGACAAAAGGGTTGGTAATTCTCTACGAGGGTGTGGTGGTTATGGTACTTTGGTTAGCTACTAACACCAAACAGGGCCTGTAGTATCTAAGTGAAAATACCTATGCATTTACTACACTTTGATATAATAATAGGCTAATAAACTGTTAAAACTGTCAGGTATTCCTAGTTGATGCTGTGATGTGTATCACATATTCAACATATATGTACAGTATAATACGGATTCGTTTTTATATGGGTCACTTTTATAACTAATATGATTGTGAATTTAATGTTTTCATTAAAAGGTAACTATTGTGTTACTGAATTGGTTGACCCATCATTGCTGTCAAAAAGTACTTCAGAAAACATGAGCTTCAGTAACATTAGTAAGCAGGGGAAGTTGAGGGGAAGTCTTGAAGGGCTGACATATCAAGTGCTTTTTCTAAGAATTTCTTGACTTTTAAAAACTATTATCGATTAGTCTAGATGAGTGGCAGTGTGAATTACAAGACGTTTCACTGCTGTCTCACTGAAAGTCTCCAGGAGTGTTATTACTTGTCATGAGGTCTTAGCCAAACATATCAGATTAACCTCCTTTCCAAGTTCTCGTCCCTCACTGCCATGTCAACCCATCAGGTGGTTTATGCAAACAAGTCAAAGGTCTCAGAAAGAAATACAGTGTGTCCTCCTCCATCCATATATATTAGATGACTCAAACAATAAAGTGTCGGCTGGTGGGGTATTGGACAAAGGTGCAAAAGTACAGTGTGGCTGCCAGTTGCCAGGTTACGGTTTCCATACAACCAACTGTCGAACAAGGGAAAATATAAAATTGGGAGAAGTTCAGAACCCATATTCATAAAGCATCTCAGAGTAGTAGCACTAATCTAGGATCAGGTCCCTCTGTCCATAATATTGTGTTCATTCTGATCTACAGTGGGGGAAAAAAAGTATTTAGTCAGCCACCAATTGTGCAAGTTCTCCCACTTAAAAAGATGAGAGAGGCCTGTAATTTTCATCATAGGTACACGTCAACTATGACAGACAAATTGAGATTTTTTTTCTCCAGAAAATCACATTGTAGGATTTTTAATTAATTAATTTGCAAATGATGGTGGAAAATAAGTATTTGGTCACCTACAAACAAGCAAGATTTCTGGCTCTCACAGACCTGTAACTTCTTCTTTAAGAGGCTCCTCTGTCCTCCACTCGTTACCTGTATTAATGGCACCTGTTTGAACTTGTTATCAGTATAAAAGACACCTGTCCACAACCTCAAACAGTCACACTCCAAACTCCACTATGGCCAAGACCAAAGAGCTGTCAAAGGACACCAGAAACAACATTGTAGACCTGCACCAGGCTGGGAAGACTGAATCTGCAATAGGTAAGCAGCTTGGTTTGAAGAAATCAACTGTGGGAGCAATTATTAGGAAATGGAAGACATACAAGACCACTGATAATCTCCCTCGATCTGGGGCTCCACGCAAGATCTCACCCCTGTGGGGTCAAAATGATCACAAGAACGGTGAGCAAAAATCCCAGAACCACACGGGGGGACCTAGTGAATGACCTGCAGAGAGCTGGGACCAAAGTAACAAAGCCTACCATCAGTAACACACTACGCCGCCAGGGACTCAAATCCTGCAGTGCCAGACGTGTCCCCCTGCTTAAGCCAGTACATGTCCAGGCCCGTCTGAAGTTTGCTAGAGTGCATTTGGATGATCCAGAAGAGGATTGGGAGAATGTCATATGGTCAGATGAAACCAAAATAGAACTTTTTGGTAAAAACTCAACTTGTCGTGTTTGGAGGACAAAGAATGCTGAGTTGCATCCAAAGAACACCATACCTACTGTGAAGCATGGGGGTGGAAACATCATGCTTTGGGGCTGTTTTTTCTGCAAAGGGACCAGGACGACTGATCCGTGTAAAGGAAAGAATGAATGGGGCCATGTATCGTGAGATTTTGAGTGAAAACCTCCTTCCATCAGCAAGGGCATTGAAGATGAAACGTGGCTGGGTCTTTCAGCATGACAATGATCCCAAACACACCGCCCGGGCAATGAAGGAGTGGCTTCGTAAGAAGCATTTCAAGGTCCTGGAGTGGCCTAGCCAGTCTCCAGATCTCAACCCCATAGAAAATCTTTGGAGGGAGTTGAAAGTCCGTGTTGCCCAGCAACAGCCCCAAAACATCACTGCTCTAGAGGAGATCTGCATGGAGGAATGGGCCAAAATACCAGCAACAGTGTGTGAAAACCTTGTGAAGACTTACAGAAAACGTTTGACCTGTGTCATTGCCAACAAAGGGTATATAACAAGGTATTGAGAAACTTTTGTTATTGACCAAATACTTATTTTCCACCATAATTTGCAAATAAATTCATTACAAATCCTACAATGTGATTTTCTTGATTTTTTTTTCTCATTTTGTCTGTCATAGTTGACGCGTAGCTATGATGAAAATTACAGACCTCTCTCATCTTTTTAAGTGGGAGAACTTGCACAATTGGTGGCTGACTAAATACTTTTTTCCCCACTGTAAAAGGCTGATCCTAGATCAGCACTCTTACTCTGAGATGCATTATGAATTCAAACATGTCATACTGCTGAACGATTAATTCTCTAGCTGCTCTTGGGGAAAACTTTTCCAGGAATTTCATAACTAAGCCACATTCATTCTGATACTTTAAAAAAAAAAGGTGTCCTAACGTAAATCTCCTGGGCCCTGACATAATTCACTCAAATCTACTTTGGCCCTGGTGTCGGAAATCTAATTTGACACCAGCTTTTCTGCAGTGAGAAACTGGAGAGGCAAACATTACTTGTAATAATTGAGTGGATTTAATTGCTAATTAGCGTAACGTTGGCGACTGGACTTGAGGGGGACTTGAGGGGAACTTTATTAATGTGGTTCTGCTGTGCTGAAGGGGGTCTTGCCTCCAGACCTCATTTGGAAGTATGTGAAGTCCCCTTCATGCAGCTATTAGCCATTGAGGTGTTCTCATTTAGATGAAGCACAGGGCAAAGTTATATTTCTAAGAAAATGTACTTCCTTCCCGAGGTTTTGCGTTGCTGGGGTGGTGTATATAAAACTAGGCTACACTGCATTACCAGCCTGGTCACCAGTGAAACAAGTCAGTATTCGACGTCCATCCATATCTGAGAATGTCGGGAGATTACGTGGAAACCGGCCACTAGGGGCAACAGTGAGTGCTGTTTCCAAAGGTTGCATGTTCGAATCCTAGGGATAGAAAGTTGTTTTAGATATTTTTGTTTTAAGCCTATACCAAACCTTAACCCTTACCTTAACCATTCAGAGTTAATGCCTACCCTTAAGAATTTGGAGTTAATGCCTGAACTTAACCCTAACCTTAAAAATTCAGCATTTAAACCTAACCTTAAAGACTTTGAAATTTGAGGTTTAGAACAACTTCAAAATTTGACGTTTGAGAAACGTGGATGAACGTCTAATTCTGACGTGAAATTGTGAGAGCTGGTAGCATTACACACTGCAATGGATAGGCTATCACAATCATGAGCCCTGGCCTGCCCTGCTCTTGCTAATGTAAAGCCCTGTTGTGCTGCCTAACCAATGGATGTGCTGTGTACGGTGACACTTCAGGAGGCTAGTCAAAGGCTTCTTCCAAAATTAATGTTTTATTTGTCAAGAAAATGCAATATCTGTGCATGCAGACTAGGCCTGTTGATGTCCAGTTCAGTTGGAGAGGGAGATCGTGAAGATGAGAAGGAGGACCGGAGGTAAGCTTGCTACTGCTATAATTGATTTTAATAAAAACAATATGTTTAATTGCCCATAAAGCTATTTATCAGAGTTATAGACCTCACAATAAGCCATATTCAAGTAATTTACATAAATTACATTTCTATGAAGTGGTAACCACGGAGATGCAAAGTGCATAGGTGCTGAAAGTAGGCTAATTCGAGAAGGCCTAATTAATTTAAACAGTCATCATTTAAATTTGACTTTAGGCTACTAACAATAGGGCTTTATGTTGGAGACTATTTCTTCCTATTCAAGACATACGAGGTAGCCCTACCTGTTTGACAGACAAAACTATAGTCTACTATCCATAGAGTTTGTCAACCAATTCCATTGGTGTCAGTGAAGGGCTTGGTGTGTTTATTAAGAGTCTATTGACCCGTGCGTCAATCTAATTAACACATTTAAAAATCCCCATCAAAATGCATCAGTTTAAGCTAGAGATATCTGTTTTTTTGCATGGGCTGCGTCTCAATCCACCACATCCGCCTATGTTGGCCTTCCGCATCTTTGGTGGAAAGTGGAAGAGCTACAGACCAAGAGACTTCCCGAAAATCGGTCTTCTCACGAAAACATCTGTAGTGTCCGAACGGTTTGGCCTACTAACTAATATGACCACTCTATGGAAATATGAGACTCAGGAGCATGATGGTGTTCCCCGTTTTGCTCTACGACCCCCACAAGTGTCAAGGGACGCGTCTGAAGGTAACCCGGTACTGGTTGAAAATTTTTATTGAAGTATGGAGGTAGTTTTGTGCCAACAAAAAAAGGGGTTAAATATGTGTCCAAAACACAAAAATATTTCCAGAGCTTTCTAATATCTCCTAGATATAGGATATACACTTCAAAACCTTTTTCCTTATGATATATTTTTCAACTGACTGTTTTGCCATTGATGAATGTGTTATTCAATGTGTTTCTATGAGGTACAGTAGTAAAGGCCAAATTCAATAGATACATGGTATGACCATCCTAAAACAATTCCATATGTTAGCTTAGTATTACATGTTAAAGAAAATGGCTAAAAGCATAGGCCTACCCCTTGATAATTTAAGATTAAAAAGAAATGATGGACCTGATTATATAAAGCGATATAAAAAGACGCTTTAGTCTGCAATGCTTTATGCTAGAAACAACCTGTAAAATGAAGGGAAAGACGTGATGCATATGTGATATCTTTGGTTTATTGCTATGACATTCAGAGGCTGCGCTACAACCTTCTATAGCCGACTAGTCAAAAAATATACTTTGCTTGGAAAGTAATGTGTGATTCTGTCAATCAATTGATGTTCAACATTTCAATAGGGTATTAAATAACATACTAACTCTAAATCTGTCAGGAGCAAGCCAGGTAGCCTAAGAAGGAACAAACATGTATTATTTAGGCTTTATTATTATTACTTCAAGGCTATAGGCTGTCATTTAAGAAATACATTGTGAAGCATTTGTGACACACTAGAGCCTGGCAGGAGTGTTCAGCATTTCAACAACACATCAACAACAGCACTTCAACAACACATCAACAACAGCATTTCAACAACACATCAACAACAACACATCAACAACAGCACTTCAACAACACATCAAGAACAGCACTTCAACAACATGCCTAGAAATGTAGCATTTAGGCTCTATAAAATGAAAGAAAAAATACAAAAATACTTAGAGTTAAATAATAATTAAATGAAAAATGTCTTATTAGGCCATACATTGCCTTTGAATTAACTTTTAGAAACACGAGTTTGGCCAGTCTTTGGTTTGAGGATCATGCGGTGAGCTATGCATGCTAATTTATCCTAGCAGATGCGCTTAAATTCCCAAGCCCTAATCACAGTCAACACACATCTATTTTGTAACGAACAATATCATGGAATAAAATAGAAAAAAAAATTCCAAAATTAAAAGTGCATATAGGCCTATCTGATGATACAGTGGGGAAAAAAAGTATTTAGTCAGCCACCAATTGTGCAAGTTCTCCCACTTAAAAAGATGAGAGAGGCCTGTAATTTTCATCATAGGTACACGTCAACTATGACAGACGAAATGAGAAAAAAAAATCCTGAAAATCACATTGTAGGATTTTTAATGAATTTATTTGCAAATTATGGTGGAAAATAAGTATTTGGTCAATAACAAAAGTTTCTCAATACTTTGTTATATACCCTTTGTTGGCAATGACACAGGTCAAACGTTTTCTGTAAGTCTTCACAAGGTTTTCACACACTGTTGCTGGTATTTTGGCCCATTCCTCCATGCAGATCTCCTCTATGCAGTGATGTTTTGGGGCTGTCGCTGGGCAACACAGACTTTCAACTCCCTCCAAAGATTTTCTATGGGGTTGAGATCTGGAGACTGGCTAGGCCACTCCAGGACCTTGAAATGCTTCTTACGAAGCCACTCCTTCGTTGCCCGGGCGGTGTGTTTGGGATCATTGTCATGCTGAAAGACCCAGCCACGTTTCATCTTCAATGCCCTTGCTGATGGAAGGAGGTTTTCATTCAAAATCTCACAATACATGGCCCCATTCATTCTTTCCTTTACACGGATCAGTCGTCCTGGTCCCTTTGCAGAAAAACAGCCCCAAAGCATGATGTTTCCACCCCCATGCTTCACAGTAGGTATGGTGTTCATTGGATGCAACTCAGCATTCTTTGTCCTCCAAACACGACGAGTTGAGTTTTTACCAAAAAGTTATATTTTGGTTTCATCTGACCATATGACATTCTCCCAATCCTCTTCTGGATCATCCAAATGCACTCTAGCAAACTTCAGACGGGCCTGGACATGTACTGGCTTAAGCAGGGGGACACGTCTGGCACTGCAGGATTTGAGTCCCTGGCGGCGTAATGTGTTACTGATGGTAGGCTTTGTTACTTTGGTCGCAGCTCGCTGCAGGTCATTCACTAGGTCCCCCCGTGTGGTTCTGGGATTTTTGCTCACCGTTCCTGTGATCATTTTGACACCACGGGGTGAGATCTTGCGTGGAGCCCCAGATCGTGGGAGATTATCAGTGGTCTTGTATGTCTTCCATTTCCTAATAATTGCTCCCACAGATGATTTTTTCAAACCAAGCTGCTTACCTATTGCAGATTCAGTCTTCCCAGCCTGGTGCAGGTCTACAATTTTGTTTCTGGTGTCCTTTGACAGCTCTTTGGTCTTGGCCATAGTGGAGTTTGGAGTGTGACTGTTTGAGGTTGTGGACAGGTGTCTTTTATACTGATAACAAGTTCAAACAGGTGCCATTAATACAGGTAACGAGTGGAGGACAGAGGAGCCTCTTAAAGAAGAAGTTACAGGTCTGTGAGAGCCAGAAATCTTGCTTGTTTGTAGGTGACCAAATACTTATTTTCCACCATAATTTGGAAATAAATTCATTAAAAGTCCTACAATGTGATTTTCAGGATTTTTTTTTCTCAATTTGTCTGTCATAGTTGACGTGTACCTATGATGAAAATTACAGGCCTCTCTCATCTTTTTAAGTGGGAGAACTTGCACAATTGGTGGCTGACTAAATACTTTTTTCCCCCACTGTATGTGGCTGCTGTGTTAAAAAACAAATGGCTTTTTCTTAAATTCATTGATGATCAGATACTTCAGTTGTAACTGGTTCTGTTGCGCTACATTTTTACAGTTGATAGACAACTTTAGCACTGTTCCAAACTTAGACTATCCTATTTTTTAACAATAGCCTTTATACAAATCAGAATGTCTCCAGTGCTGCAGCACCCGCTCATTCGTTGTCATGCTTTGTTGTGGTATTATAACAGATTCTGCTTGTCTCCAGTCATGTAAAATGACATAGAATTACATGAAATGCATTTATAAAAGGCTATTTTTTCTCGGACCGCAAATAAGATGATAGATTCATGCAGTGCTTTTATTATAATGAAGATCTTTTCACCCCTACCCTTGTCCGCGGTGGTCTGCAAATCCACAACCTTCTGGCTATTTTGCCATGTAATTCTTACAAAATGAAGAGCAGTGTCTAAAACTGCATAGGCCTATCTAAGGTTCTGGTCTGTCCTAGGAGTAAGGGTAAATGGTAGGCATGCTCTCTGCTATCCAATTTATGTTTTCATTATTATTTTGGGTACAGGGGAGGGTCACTTTATTTTAAGTGTTCAGGGAGAATCGGGTAAAAATATCTTTAAGAGGACCATCCATTTCAGAGAGGTCCAGTTTTCTCCAGGTATCCCTCATTATAAATAACAGTCCCTTGAGGGAGCTTCGTGATAATGAATCAGACAAACAGGACATACAACAGAGAGGTTCAGGAAAAATAAATAGTGGTAGTGAAAGAGACTGTAACCTTCCTGACAATGTGAGCGGGGGAGTAAGGATAGAGGACACTGCCCAGCCCCTTGGCGGGTATTGCAGACTTTTATTTTTACTTTGACTGTTTCCTTTGGACAGATGTCCAAACCATTGAAACTGTGTTCACTTGCAACAACACTCTGACAGAAACTCCACTGTATCTGTCAGACAGTCCCTCAACACATGCTCTCCTGCCCCCTTCTCTCCATATCCAAGAAGAAAAGAGAGAAAATTGCAGTGATGACCCTCTGGTCTCTTCTAACATACAGTAGTTTCCGATTCTCCAAGAACTTTCTGAGCGGATCCCAATAGAGCTCTTTGAATAAAGTGCAAATTGCATTTCAAACTGAATTGAAAAGTGTTACCGCCTGCCCTCGATCAATGAATATATTGATGCGGTGAGAGTTTTACTCACCTAGAAAGAATTTTCAGGTATTAATAACCTGATGTTAGCTCGTACTGACCCAAGCACAGGATCATATTTATATCAACCTCTCCTCACAAACAAAACAGCCAGCTGGAAAGGCCAGCGTTGTATTTTTCAAAAGGTGCAACCAGGAGACGATTGATGGAAAATAAAGAGGTTATCTAAGAGAAATACAGTTCCTTATACTTTTTTTCTCTTTGGCGTTTCATAACTTAACTTCATATTATGTGAAGAGTACTTAATAGTTCCTTTGGGAGTTGAACTCTAAACCTTTCCTTCCAAATTTCTATTTTTGAGAGTGGGCATTTTGATGGGCTCACTTACCGTATTCTCTGATCTGAGGCAAAAGGCAGCCTCTGAAAAAGATACAGCTTGACGGGGGGAAAACTCATTTCCTTTGAAGCAATGAAAATCTTGTCAACTAATGTTTGAAGACTTTGATGGGACTAAACAAGGGGAACGGGTCAATTTTGGTATCTTTTACAACTCACTATCACCCCAATATTCTCTCTTTCTTGGCAGTGGCTATCTTTTTTTCTAGTTCCTCACATTAGGTTCTGCTCAGATAAGGTGGACCAATTTAGCTTGCTCCATTTAAATATATGCTTGGCTTGTTGCTAATGAAGTTTTGCTCTGATCTGAAAGTTTGATTGAGGAGCAAGCTGGATCCTTTAACTCTGTTTCTCACACAGTTGCCTGATATGATGGCAAGACGCCATTAAACTTTGCCCATGAAAATATAATGCTAATGCTAATTAGCAATGCTTATGACAGTGTTATTTTGAATGGCAATTTGACGTCTTTCAACAACTACAAAAACAAACACACAGGATGTGAAGCCTCATCTCTGGTAGCCTATGGTTGGTAAGTTAATTAGGTTGTAGATATAGAGCAATGTTTTGTTTACAAGCAAAATACATGTTCGAGTAATGTACGTGCATGCTCGCAAAAAAAAAGCCCTGTAGCAGATAGCTATACACTGATGTCGGGATCTTGACAAACTTAGCAGTGAGTGAGTCATGACCATGAAAACACACAGATATGCTCAACATGTATATTATTATTCTGGCTTTATCTAGCTCAATTTGTGATATTGTACCTTGCCTCGTTGGCTTGCTAGCTTGCTAGGTAATCAATCCTCAAAAGACATCTGCGATGTTGTAATGTAGATGATAACCAACTGATTACGTGTTTGCTAACTTCCATGAGCTGCATCTGAATTTGGACGTGATCGTCTTGACTTCCATGGAAACAAACCACTTTCTGATTCGGAACTGCGCTTGCAACATTTCATGACGTAGCCGGGAAACAGGTCTATAGGCAGGCATGTACAGTGTGCTGACCTTGCAAAGCCTGTGTTTCTAGTTCTTATTAGCCCTAACAAGAATGTTTCACATGTACTACAATACTATGCACCACGCATGAAGTAGGGAAGGTTTTGCAGCACCCAGGATATATTTTTACCCAGAGTGAACAGTAATTGATCTAATTGTCTTACACTGAGCAGCCTCTTCCTGCTTCCCCCCATCTGAGGCCCACACTTTGTCCCTGCGAACTCACATCCTCCAAATGACACTTCCTCCCATCACCCCCTTGCATTTTAATGAGGTCTTAATGGGTTTTTGATTAGAAAATTAATGTAAACAGCTGCCATGGCTGGCCGGAAATGATGGATCTTCTCAGAGTACTTTTGCATCTATTAAGGTCTATTTCTGTTGCTTTTGCAAGTGTCTGAAAAGATGAAAGCAACGTTTATTTGGAATACAGCTGGAGCAGTTTACTTGAGGAAGAGGAGGATGTTGAGTGCCATCTTGACAGTGGATGGGTGCCATATTGGAGAGAGTTGTAAAAGAGGGGAGTTGTAGGACCACTAACTCATTTATCAACATGGTCTCATTAGAATGTCAAAATAGTGGCATTTAACCATTGTAGCTATACAGTATGTCACCTAAGCTGACATATTAGTTATGTGTCACCTAAATTGGCATATCACTTGTATGTTACTACAATGGTGTGTTTATGACATTACTGACTGACTGATCACTGGTTTGTATGGTAAGGGGAACCAAATCCTCCATTACAACAGGAACTAATAAAGCTGGTCTCTTCAGCTGCTTTGTTCTGGCAGTGGCAGTCCAGTTATTCTTAGTCAGACTGTCACTGGTGGTATATGATGAGAAGAGGGGGCTGGCAAGTCCAGCTTGCATTGTTTACTGATATGCCAGAGGCAGGTGTGGACAGTAAATGCTTATAAATAACCCCCCAACCTGACACACAAAGAGATGGCCTTGGATGAAGCCTCTTAGTGTCTTTTTAAACCTTATCACTCAGCATTGAACCATCTGAACACACACATGCATACATGCTTGTGCACGCACAAACGCACACACATGCACACACACTAGAGCTGGACGATAAACCAAAAATGATCGACACCGACCATACCAATCACTTATCGCAGGCATTTTGCTGATATCGTTCATTATTTCAGTAGCCTATACTAGAGAAATGTGAAGTTTGAAATTAAATACGTTTGCTAGTATGGGTGTTCTTAATGGTACAGTTGATGGCTACAACCATCAAGCTAGTAGTTAAAAGGATCATTTAAATAAAAATGTGGTGTACATTAATGTTAGAAATGTATCTTTCTATTTCTCGTTAACACACACACACTCGCTCTGTTTCTCTCTCTCTCTCTCTCTCTCTCTCTCTCTCTCTCTCTCTCTCTCTCTCTCTCTCTCTCTCTCTCTCTCTCTCTCTCTCTCTCTCTCTCTCTCTCTCTCTCTCTCTCTCTCTCTCACTGTCTCAGCCAGTCTGAGCTCCATGTTTAATGAGACAGAACAGTGGACAAGCTCCAGGGACAAATCAGAGATCACTGTAAAAGGAGACAGAGAAGAGAGGGGGAGTGAGGGAGGAGGGGAAGAAAGAGAGAAACTTGGATTAGGGGAGGGACAAAGTTGAGACAGTGAGTGGAGAGGGGAGGGAGATACAGGCAGAAAAGGGGGGTTGATAGAGAAAGAAATTGACAGAAAAGTAGTCTGAGAGATAAAGGGAGAGGTTTGAAAGGAGGACTGGGATGGCTGGATCTCAGGTGCGCCCTTAATCATGAATAACCCTATAACCCTTGTTCTTTGGGAGGGTGTTCAAGGCCAGTCTTTCAAAAGGAGAGACCCAGACTGTTTTATCTAGGCTCTTTCTTTACCCATCTCCTCCTTGGTCTCAATTATGAGACAAGGCCATTATGGGGCCAGATGAAAAGGAACAAAGAGAATGGACTAGCCCCTACCCTGTGAATGTTCAACTAACAATACATGTAGGATAATCTGGTTATATAGACACATTCACTATAAAAAGTCAACCATATATTCACACTCATCCCAACATGACAGTTACTGATCAGACAGTTGGTGGAATACCCTAGGCATAATTTCCACTGTGGCCATTCCAGCTGTTGCTTTCAGCTGCCCAGATCATACAGTACAGTCCACTCAATCCTCAATCCTCAATCCTATTGTGTTGTTCTATTGTTGCTACTGTGGGGGCACCGAAGGGGGCGTGTTAGCAGTCTATATTTAACACCTTGAGTGCATTGTGTTGGGCCACATTCTCTTCGTGAAGGACACTTTGTGGCCAGGGCCAGATTCACCTTCACTGCTCATACAGGGAGAGGCAGAGCAAGGAGCAAGGGAGAGAACGTGAGACAGCAATTGAGAGGGACAGACAGTGAAAGGTGACAGGGGACATAGAGAGAGAGAAAGAGAGAGAGAGAGAGAGAGAGAGAGAGAGAGAGAGAGAGAGAGAGAGAGAGAGAGAGAGAGAGAGAGAGAGAGGGAGAGAGAGAGAGAGAGAGAGAGAGAGAGAGAGAGAGACGTGTGTCCTTCATGCTCATCTTGAAGGCCTGTTGAGTATAACCCTTTCTTCAAAGACAAACGTAAGTGGCTTTTTAATTCACCCTTGCGGTACACCGTGATGTCATGATGTAATCACTTCCTGTTTTCTTTCCAACGCAGTCTCATCCACAAGGACGTGTTATGGATACTTTACAAGGGTCATAAACGTCACATGAATATACAGTGAAAGCCAATACCGGGAAAGTAACCCAATGGCAATTAGCATCTGGTGACTTAATAAGTAAAGGAGAATGATGGACCCTTGTATAGCCAAAGGCATTGGTGTAAAGTACTTTAGTAAAAATACTTTAAAGTACTACTTAAGTAGTTTTTGGGGGTATCTGTACTTTACTTTACTATTTCTATTTTGGACAACTTTTCCTTTTACTTCACTACATTCCTAAAGAAAATAATGTACTTTTTGCTCCATACATTTTCTCTGACACCAAAAGTACTCGTTACATTTTGAATGCTTAGCAGGACAGGAAAATGGTCCAATTCACGCCCTTATCAAGAGAACATCCCTGGTCATCCCTACTGTCTCTGATCTGGCAGACTCACTAAACACACATGCTTCATTTGTAAATTATGTCTGAGTGTTGGAGTGAGCCCCTGGCTATCCGTAAATTAAACAAAACAAGAATATGGTGCGGTCTGGTTTGCTTAATATAAGGAATTTGAAATGATTTGTGCTTATACTTTTACTTTGATACTTAAGTATATTTAAAACCAAATCCTTTTAGGCATTTACTCAAATAGTATTTTACTGGATGACTTTCACTTTTACTTGAGTCATTTTCTATTAAGGTATCTTTACTTTTACTCAAGTATGACAATTGGGTACTTTTTCCACCACTGGCCAATGGGATGGCATATGTGTTTCCGATTTTTTTAAACTATGTTTCAGTGTTTGTATTATTTCTTAATTTTTCCTCAAATTCATGTGGTAGAACGTCCTCCTCTTCCTCCATGAAGTAGCCTCATCTGGCCTCCATATGCAAATAATGCATGTTACTATACTGCTGAGCTTTGCATACTCTAGGATATTTCCTTTTGTCTGCATGAGATAAGTCTTTCTTTGCTGGTTCCTCAAGTTGGTTGAGTGTCAAAAGACTACGATCAGGTAAAGCTCTCATGTGGTGTTCAGACAATCCATGATCTACCAAATAACAAATAATTCATCCCCATGTTGCTTTATTGTCTTTTCTCATCAGAGAATTGGACTGTGCAGTCTACTTCAAGACACAGGGGAAACTGCACTGTGAGCAGAAAGAACATTGCTCTCCACGGGGTCCGGGTATCCAGTCACACACCAGTTAAGACAGATACATTTGAATATGCTGGAGGTTGACCTTTTTACCACCTGTGTTCAAACAACCCTTTTGTCTTGCACGACAATGAGCTGTGAAGGGAAACCAATGGGGCTGCTAGCCTGTTGAAGCGTTAGCCATTAGCCATTTGCTAACATCAGACCAGCAGGCTCACCGCAATGTAATTCAAAGCATTAAAGCGTTAGGCACTAGCCACTCGCTAACGTTAGCCCAGGCCATCCAATTTAATTCGAACAGACCAGAAGGAAAAACAAATTAGGGTGTTTATAATGCTAACACGCTAACACGGGTGATGGTTGCTTGTGGGAGTGGGTAAATGAACTTATCACTCAGGCTCTGGCCTGGTTCTGTTGGTTGGGCGAGCTGCAGTGTCGGCCTCCCCAGAGCAGAGAGAGATTAATGACTGCTAGGGTGGCAGGCAGCAGCATGGTGGCAGACCTGAACTAATTAATAATAATTCGCTCAATGGTCCACAAAGGGACAGTTCATTTAACAGAGGCCTGAAGCACACCTTTCTCCATGCCAGCAACACCTGTCTTTACTTCAAACATAAACAACTCATTGGATTGTGTTGTTGTTGTGCTACTATGAAATGAGGAAATGTCTTTCAGTTGCTCACTGGAACGCTTGTAGCTCTGCCTACTATGATATTACATATTTTGGATGCATTTCCATTGACACCTGGCTATTTGAGATCCACCATGAGCACAATTACTATGGTCTTAAATTGACATATTCCTCACAATAAAAGTGAAAAGAGATCTTTGTAGCATTCCTTTCCGAGTCTCCATCAGGTCAACCCTCAGAGTGGTCCTACTGTGCAATGACAGATCCTCCATCCTACTCCCTTCATCCCTCCCTCATCTCTCCTACCTCCTTCCTCCACAGGTGTTGGTCAGGGGTTCACCATGGCAACCAAGATGCTGACGACACGGGTCCAGGAGGAGCAGTCCCACCAGATGTCTCACAGCATGGCGCTGGCCTCGCAGATCAAGAAGAAGACCTTCACCTCCAGGTAAAGGCATCCTGGCACACGCACCCTGCTTCGTCAACATATCATAGATCATATTCATCCAATGTTCACACGTACACACACACACACACACACACTGACCTTGCCTCATCATAACATAGATCATGTTTGTTATAAAAAATTTGATAGAATAAAGAATTTCCAGAAGATATCAAGTTACATATGGTGTTCTGTATATACACTATATATACTAAAGTATGTGGACACCCCTTCAAATTAGTAGATTCGGCTATTTCAGCCACACCCGTTGCTGACAGGTGTATAAAATCGAGCACGCTGCCATGCAATCTCCATAGACAAACATTGGCAGTAGAATGGCCTTACTGAAGCGCTCAGTGACTTTCAACGTGGCACCGTCATAGGATGCCACCTTTCCAACAAGTCAGTTCGTCAAATGTCTGCCCTGCTAGAGCTGCCCGGTCAACTGTAAGTGCTGTTATTGTGAAGGGAGCAACAACGTCTCAGCCGCGAAGTGGTAGGCCACACAAGCTCACAGAATGGAAGGGGAAGGCCCTTTCCTATTTCAGTATGACAATGCCCCCGTGCACAAAGTAGGGTCCATACAGAAATGGTTTGTCGAGATCGGTGTGGAAGAACTTGACTGGCCTGCACAGAGCCCATCGAACACCTTTGGAATGAATTGGAACGCCGACTGCGAGCCAGGCCTAATCGCCCAACATCAGTGCCCAATCTTTCTAATGCTCTTGTGGCTGAATGGAAGCAAGTCCCCGCAGCAATGTTCCAACATCTAGTTGAAAGCCTTCCCAGAAGAGTGGAGGCTGTTATAGCAGCAAAGGGGGGACCAACTCCATATTAATGCCCATGATTTTGGAATGAGATGTTGGACGAGCAGGTGTCCACATACTTTTGGTCATGTACTGTATCATACACTTACTTTATGGAAACCGTCCTGCATTGGAGAAAAGTAGATGTTGACCATCCAAGTATTATGTTTTGATCACGTTCATCCATTCCTGGTTTTAGGTTTTAGTGGATGCAAATAGAATTCTAAAAACCCTGTTTCCTTAGCACACTATGTCCTGTAATATATTCATCCACTTGAAAACTGCTTGCATGGGAGTAAAGTACAGTCAATGTTGACCATCCAAATATTACAGTATGTTACCGGATATGTGCATAGCTAGTCAGATGAAAAGTGCCCTGTATGTAATGGAGTCCTTGTTTGTTGTGGGTTGTGGGATGACATTAGGGCTTTTTAAACAAGGACATGGAGTGGGTGGCAGTTATTCTGAGCTCATTGCGACACCAGAGCCGTGACGCAGTGTGTGTCCAAGAGCAGTGTGTGTGTGTGTTGAAGGGCAAAATTAGAGTTACACTTACGTTACAGTTTTTTCCAACTGCTTACACACGTTTTCAAAACGATGTCTCCTTTTTTTTTAACTCTACACACAATTCCCGAAACTGCACACACAAAATGCAAAATGCCTCACATCTCCTTCAAAATGTAACACTGCATTCAAAATGCCATAAACACATGTCAGAATGAAGCATTTGCATCAAATGGCAAACACTTCTTTCATTATAGTAAATTTTGGGATATACCATGTAAACACTGTTGTTCTAAATCTAAAGCTCTTTGGTCTTTCATAGGCTTATATCTACATTTCAATACAATGTTCTACAGTGAAAGTCATCTGCTGAGAGGGCTAACAAGTACACTGTAAACACCAATGCAATGTAGAAACAGAAAATATTTATTAGGCCAAACATTGCTGTTGTACACAGTAGCATACAACAAAACCATAAACATATGTAAACCAAAAGTATATTCTTTAGAATACAGTAAAGAACACAATTGTGTGTGTGGGGTCCCAGGGGGGCAGTCCAGGAATTGCTGGACTACGCTTCATCTCTTCTCCGGGCCTAGTCTGGCCACAATACTTCGTCCACATCACAAGACACGTTTTCTCTTGCCAAATATCGAGGGAAGTATCTCCTAGCATGGCGTATCCCGAGTGGCGCAGTGGTCTAAGGCACTGCATCACAGTGCTAGCTGTGCCACTAGATTAGATCCTGGTTCGAATCCAGGCTCTGTCGTAGTCGGCCGTGACCGGGAGACCCATGGGGCGGCGCATAATTGGCCCTGCGTCGTCCAGGGTAGGGTAGGGGAGGGAATGGCCGGTAGGGATGTAGCTCAGTTGGTAGAGCATGGTGTTTGCAACGCCAAGGTTGTGGGTTCAATTCCCATGGGGGGCCAGTATGAAAAATAAAAGAATGTATGCACGCACTAACTGTAAGTCGCTCTGGATAAGAGTGTCTGCTAAATGACTAAAATGTAAATGTATCCAACCTTGGACAGAGGCAACCCCTACATGCGTCCTCCATTGCCTGGAGAAGCGACATGCGGGCATAGCGTTGGCGATCACACACTTTCCAGTGTCAGGCTGAGAATAATTCCTCTATGGGATTTAGAAAACGTGAATATGGGGGTAGGTACAAAACTACAAATTGTGGATGGGTAGCAAACCAGTTTTGGACCAGAACAGCCCGGTGAAAACTAACATTGTCCCATATAACCACAAATCTAGCAGGCTCCTGATCTGGATCAGGGACAAGCATTGTGTAAATTGCATCCAGAAAAGTGAGCATATGGCCGGTGTTGTACGGACCCAGTGTGGCATTGTGATGGAGGACCCCGTTTTGAGTGATGGCAGCACACATAGTTATATTACCCCCACGCTGTCCAGGGACATTGGTAATTGCCCTCTGTCCTATTACATTTCTTCCGCGGCGACTGGTTTTGGTAAGGTTGAAAACAACCTCATCCACATAAATAAATTCATGGCGAATTACATGGGCATCCATCTCCAATACTCTCTATAACAGACAAAATGATATACAGATGAGTACATATGGTATGTCTGAAGTACTGGAAGTAGTGTTGCATACATACCTCTACAAAGTAATGTCGCAGATTCTTGACTCTGTCAGAGTTTCTCTCAAATGGCACCTTGTAAAGTTGTTTCATCCGTTGGAGGATGCGTTGTATGATCGACAGGCTTACAGCATTGATGTTGTTAAATATGCTGTCATTATTCAAGATATGCTCTCTTATATCTCGAATCCTAATTGCATTGTTGGCCAAAACCATATTTATTATTGCAGTCTCTTGTACATCTGTAAACAAGTGTCCTCGTCCTCCATGATGTCTTTGCCTTTCCACTCTGTACAGAATTCAAACACAGTATGTGTTCAGCATAGGAACTGTAAACAATGTACAAAAAAATGTAGTACAGCATGATAACCAACCTCATTCATTCAATGCAGTGCAGTAAATGGATGGCTTAGAGTTACAAATGTTTATGCAATACTATGCAGTCATACGTATTTTACAGTACATTACTGTAATGCTAAAATAGTCATTAGATAGTTGCATACCTGATCTTATTTCTGAAGGTTCGAATTATGGACGCCACTGTAAATCGACTCAAGTTGGGCTGGACTCTCAGTCCAGCCTCTCTCATGGTCAAACCGTGGTTGATCACATGATCAACAAGTGTTGCCCTAATCTCATCAGAGATGGCTCTCCTTCCTTCTCTTCTTTGCCCTCGTCCTCTTCTTCCTCTTCCTCTTCCTCTTCTTCTTCCTCTTCTTCTTCCTACTCCTCTTCCTCTTCCTCCTACTCCTCTTCCAACTCTTCGTCTTTAATTTGTCCTCATTGTTGTCCCCTACCTCTCCCTCCTACTCCTCTTGCTCTCTGTCCATTGTTGGCATCCATTGTTCAAAATAGGTAATCTGACCTTTGACCAATTTATAGGCCTATACTACAGTAAAGCAGTGATTGGTTAGTGATCAGTTAAGCAATTAGTGTTTGCACATGTGAGGAGTGTGTGTGTGACCTGGTGAATAAGTGTAGCATTTTGATTGGTTGTGTTTGGAAAAGGAAAGCAAGTCACTTCTTGTTAGATTTTTGTGTTTTAGGTAGAGAATTGTGTGTAGTGTTTTGAAAAAAGTGTTTTATGCAATTGACAACTGAGTCAAAGTCTGAGAAATAGCTTATGGTTTTGGAGATTTGGTGTGTAGGTTTGCACTTTGAGTGAGAGGTTTCAAAAATCATGTGACATAAAAAGATTTTGTGTGTAAACAGTTGGAAAAAACTGTAATACTGTCACGCCCTGGCTCTAGGGACTCTTTTAAGTTGAGCCAGGGTGTGTAGAGTTTATGTTTTGTGCTCGTTGTGTCTAGTTTAGTTTTTGTATATCTATGTTGGCCAGAGTGGTTCTCAATCAGAGGCAACGAGTATCAGCTGTTGCTGGTTGTCTCTGATTGGGAACCATATTTAGTCAGGTGGTTTTCCCACAGTGTTTGTGGGATCTTGTTCCGTGTTGGTTTGTGTTTTGCACCTGTGGACGTCACGTATCGATTTGTTGTTTTGTTCGTGTATCATTTAATAAATAAGTATGTTCACCTTCCACGCTGCGCCTTGGTCCTCTATATCCGATGTTCGTGACAGAAGATCCCACCAATACAGGACCAAGCAGCGTGCCCAGGCAGGAGAGGAGAAGCGGCGCCAACCGGGCAGTCGTCGGACAGGCGAGGGGCACCCCCAATACATTTTTAGGGGGGGGCACATGGCAGGGACGACGGGGCCACTGGAGGCAGATAAGGGGCGAGTTGGTGGACGAGGAGAGAAGGCCACCGGGTTACGGGAGCCATTGGTGTATAGAGGGAAGGAAAATGTAGAGGCATGGCGAGAGGTACTGAAGTGTGTTGCCAGTCCGGTCCGGCCCGTTCCTGATCCCCGTGTAAGGCCAGTGGTGTGTGTTCCCAGTACGGTCCGGCCTGTTCCTGTCCATCGTGCCAAGCCTATGGTGCACGTCGCCAGCCCGGCCCGGCCTGTTCCTGCTACCCGCACCAAGCCAATGGTGCGCGTCGACAGCCCGGCCCGGCCCGTTCCTGCTCCCCGCACCAAACCTGTGGTGCGCATCGCCAGCCCGGTCCGGCCTGTTCCTGCTCCCCGCACCA